TATATACATGTCAAGACCTATCATGTCAAGATGCATCAAATTGAATGTGTTAAAATATGCATTTTATTATAAATAACTTATACTTCAATAAAGATGTTTAATATATATTAATCAGCTGTATTATATAATATTATGTGTATTATTAAACAATAATATTAGTGATATGCATAATCACTAATATTTCTTTGAGCTTCCCATGTAGCGCAGCGGTAAAGAATCCACCTGCCAATGCAGGAAACGTGGGTTCGATCCACGGGTTGGAAAGATCCCCTGGATAAGGAAGTGGCTACCCACTCCAGTATTCTGGCCAGGAGAGTTCCATGGACAGAGGAACCTGGTGGGCTACAGTCCATGGGGTGGCCGAGTCAGACACAACTGAGCAACATTCACTCACTCATGCTCCAAGAATGCATGTAAACTCCACATCCCTTCCCACATACCTTGTCCTATGCGTCTCTTCCTTCTGACTGTTCCTGAGTTATATCTTTTTACAATAAACTAGTCACCTAGTAAGCAACATGTTTCTCTGGGTTCTTTGATCTGCTCCAGCCAATTAATTGAACCTAAGGAAGGGGCCACGGGAGCCTGTGATTTACAGTCAGTTGGTCAGAAGTACAGACAACAATCTAGACTTGTGAGCGGCATCTGAAGTCCATGGAAGGGTTGTGGCAACCTCTAATCTGTGGTAGGTCAGTCAGAAGCACAAGCTTTCAACTGTTGTCTGAAAAGAGGAGAATGAGTTGGAGAAAAGACAGTAGTTTTGTATATCTGAACCCAAAACCTATGAAACCTGGTTCTGTCTCTGAGCAGGCAGCATCACAGTTGAGCTGAATTGCGTATTGGCTCAAGGAATCCTCTCCCCCTGCTCCACACACCGAGCACTGTATCTCAGAAGAGACTCTGAGAGCTCTCTCCACTTTGGCCACGTGAGCCCCTAGCAAGAAGACGGCCACCGATGACTCGGGAAGGGGCCCCGCCCCACCCAAGGAATCTGCAGGTGCCTTGATCTTAGACCTCCCAGCCTCCCGAACTGACTGCGACAAATCAATTTCTGTTATTTAAGCCATCCAGTCTATGGCATTTTTGTTACAGCAACACAAAGGGACTAAGGCATAGCTACACAGTGGAAAAAAAATTTTGACAAGAAATAAGTAATGAGAGCATTTACTTATTTTCAAACAATAGGAGAATGATACAAAGAAATCATTTTCTTAAACATTAGTCAATTTGTGACCAACTAGTAGCTTCTGAAACTCTGGTATACAAATACCACTGGCACCTTTGTAAACTAATATAAATATATGATAAATAATTAACAGCAACTACTTATTCACAAGGGTAGCTCAGCTACCAGGGAAGGAATTCCTCTGCAATGCAGGAGACCCCAGTTTAATACCTGGGTCAAGAAGACCCCCTGGAGAAGGGAGAGGCTGCCCACTCCATATTCTTGGGTTCCCTGGTGGCTCAGATGGTAAAGAATCCTCCTGCAGTGCGGGAGGCCTGGGTTCGATCCCTGGGTTGGGACGATCCCCTGGAAGAGGGCATGGCTACCCACTCCAGTATTTTTGCCTAGAGAAACCCCATGGACAGAGGAGCCTGGTGGGCTACAGTCCACGGGGTCACAAAGATTCAGACATGAGTGAGTGACTAAGCACAGCACAGTAGATTTATTCACAACCTAAGAGAAATCTGCATATTCCTTCTTAAATTAAAATATATATATATATGACCATCATTATTCTACAATACTAGGAACCTCTTTGTACTTCAGCTATAGGAAGTACATAGCAAAGTCTTTTATAAAAAAATTCTTATCACAACATGGAAGATTCCTCTGGAAAGGGAAGATTGACTTGTACCAAAGACCTATGAAGGACTAATAATATTCATGGGGCTTTACATTTTTAACTTCATTTAGGCTTCTCAACAATAATGATCCTATGACATTAACAGTTATACCCATTTTATAGATTAGTGAATTATGTATCAAGAGGTATAAAGTTCATACATACAACTCATTACTTGCCTTGGAAATCCCATGGACAGAGGAGACTGACAGGCTATAGTCCATGGGGGTGCAAAATAACTGGACACTACTTAGCAACTAAACAACTAATTACTAGTGGAGTCCAAGTCAGAACATATTTCTTCTTAACCCTGAAGTCAGGCATCTGTGATACGTGCATCCCAAAAGTAAATTTAACTCTCACTGTCACTGGTGGGCCAAGAGTCAGCGCCTTACTCTTCTATGCTATCAATCTACCATCAAGGAGGTTTTAATTTCTGTCCTTGGCTAACTCATCTCTTTTAGCATAAACAGCTCTCTTTTTAAATTTCCATTCTTATAAACAATCACTGTTTCTGTCAGAAATCTAAATTACATTTAGCATTTGCATCATTTTTTATTAACTTATGTCCCCTTTTAGCTTCCAATAAAAACTTTTTTTTTACGTAAAGAAGAAGGCCTCTCTAATTTCACTTAGTTTTTAACCCAACTTTGTATTTTTAACAGAATTAATAACCCACAAAGTGTTTTTCTCTCATCAGCATGTAACCCTAAAATATAGTTTGAGATTACATTTCCTCCTCTTATACCCCATTTCACTAGCAAACAGCACTGTAAGAACCATATTGCACTTGGATTTTAAACAGCCTGAATCTAAAACACACAAATCCTCATGTCCTTTCAGGGACCAATTCCTCTGAGTCATTCCTGAGAAGTGGCTTTGCATCACTGCTCCACTGAAACATAATGATCTTCAGATGCCTCCTTCCCTCAAAGGAAACATCTTTAATTGGAGAAAGTAGGAGAAAAATCATTTGGGCCAAGTTTTCTCAGAGGATCTAAAACTGCTTTTCACAGCTCATTCATCAGTTTGTCTCTTCTCCTACCCTCTCTACAACCTCCACAGTTACATATACACATCACTTGTTCTCCAGAAATTAGTCATTTATAAAGAAATCAATTATGTTTACCAAAGAAATCCATAATTCTGTTTTTAAAGCCGGTGGAGTTATAGACAATGTCACCAAATACAAATGTGTGAGAGCCTGAGATGAATTGCCCAGCATTATCTTTGATAGTGGTCAGGTTGAGCTAATAACCTAATGTGCTTCCAGGAATATCAATTGAAAACTGTTCAGCTCATGTCTTTTTTAAAGCTAAGTCAAGTTCTATTGATACATGTCGAACTGAACTCCCTAACGCAGAATTCAGACCACAGTCATCTCACACCTCGACCAATTCCATATAGCCTTCTGACAGGTCATCCCAAATCTCCTCCTGGTACTCACAGCGGACTCTGCATACATTACACATTACCATGTAAATAAAAACAATGTCACTCCCATTTTGCCTGTCACACCAAGATTGAAAACCTACCATGGCCTGCAAGATCCAAAGCAATGATCTGGTTCAGCTAACTCCGAAGCCTCACTTCTTCCCCTTACCGATGCAGTTTCACAACACTGGCCAGCTTGCTGATTTTTTTCTTTTTTTCAATGTACAAATTGTGTATGTCTGTATTATCCCTCTTATATTAGATTATAAGCTCCCCATGAGGGCAAAAATATTGTATTCACCACTGCCATCCCAAAGTCAAGAATATTTTCAGAAAATGTAGGGATTCAAAAGTATATGCTGAATTCATTAATAAGTGAAAAATAAAGTCAGTCAAAACTATTTATAAAAATTTCATCATGTTTTAATTCATTGCTTTTTTTTTTTTTTTTAATTTTTTTTTTTTTAATTCATTGCTTTTAATATTGTTTATTCATGATCCATTTCCCCCTCTTTCTGAGACATTGATATTTTCTCTTTTGAAATGCTATCGCTTACCAATTGAATGTAAATTCGGTAAAATTGTAAATTAAAGTGTGTGATCCCCATCAGCCTTTATCCAAGATGTGAATACGAAAGCAAACTGCAATGATCAACAATCTAACTCCCTCCCTCTGAAACCGAAGTGTGAGCCTAATAACCTCCAATAAAAATAGTTGTAGCTGATGGAGTGAAATATTATACACCCAGAAGAATCAAAGACTTCTTTCTCTATTTTGGGAGCTACCCAATATTTTCCCACATTTCCCCTTCCCCACTCCTTTTTGTTTGCTTGTTTGTTTAACCAGCCATTTTCTGTTGCTTACAACCCCAAATCTAACTAACACATGTAAGGTTGTATTTAACCTGGTATGCCTCAAAATACAAAGTTTAACAGGAAGGTTTGTAAATCTCTTTTCCCTCTCATCTCCCCCTCCCACTGTCTGTCAATCACCCTTCACAACTGCAGTATCCTCTACTTAATCAAACCCTTCCTTTCTGCTGACATCCCCCATACGTGACCTGTCCAATGATTTTAATGTTTCAACCTCTTTTTTTCTTCCTCCCATCTAACACTGTTTACTCAGAGCTGCTGAATTTAAGTATGAGCTAAGACATAATAATATGATTAAGCCAAAATGCTCTGTTATCAATAACCAGTATTCTTAATCTTGTCAGGCATATTTGCATTTCTTTAAAAAGAGGCTATTCTTACTCAAAATCAATTTGTTAAAATTTCAAGTATGATGACAAAGTAAAAAATTTTAGAGTATAAGGTAGTTATTTTTAAAAATATGTTAAATGGCATTACTCAAGTAGCCCTTGGATCTGCTCATGGTTCACCTAGAGATAAACAGAGGGCAATAGATATGACAACTTATCCATCAATTAAACAGGTTTCAGTTGCATTATTTTTGTTTGAATACATAAAGCACTTAGATGCATTGCGATGTGATTAACGGAGTCATGATGAGATTTGTGATGTTAGCAAATATGACTAATACACCCCAAGGGGACCCTCAATCACTTCTCCCTGGGTTTTGGGGGCTGGAGGCAAGAGTAATGACTTGTCCCCACCCAATAGACTACCCATATTGAATAGGAATAAATAATGACTTTTTTTAAAATCTATTTAAAAGAATTATTCAACTACAAGAAGTAACGTATTTAAAATACTCACAATTTCTTTAAAACAGCCATGAATTGTACTACCTTCTCTTCATATTTTTTTGGTCCATATAAAGTACGGCCACCACGTGCTTTCTTAACATGGATAGCTATATTGTGGGAATCATCAGGTTGTGGAGGTTTACTTTCTTCTGTATCTTCAGCAGGTATTCTAAACAAGGAAACATAATATTTTATGTTGTATAAAAAAATTCTGATGTGAACTCTTTATTGTCAAGAGTAGAAATGCACTGTTCTGAGATAATTTAGCATTTTAATAATATATTCCTTCTCCGTGTCTGTTTTTCTCCAGTCATTAGTAATGCAATTAAACACATCGCTCTAAGTCTCAAAATTATCACTCAAAATTACCATATATAAAATATTTTCTAGGGACAAAATTTGACTATAGATGTTATGACTGTCCCAAGTGATTAAAACATCTTCCATAATAAATTAGGTACATACACTTAGGAAAATATTTTAAGACAATGGTTACCACACTTCCTTTTTTCTCTCATGGTTGTTTTCCAGCAAGTTTTTTTTTTTTTTTTTGCACCAATGATAAAAGTACTTTTTTTAAAACTTCTGTTTCCAACTGGTAAATTATGAACATCTTGGAAGCAGCCACCATAACTTATTCTTGTGCTACCGTATGATATACATTTAAGTCCCCAAGAGATGTGTGAATGAATGACCTTTTCCCATTTATCCTTCCAGCTCCAAGCTTTCTGATTAACAGGTAACTAAAAAAAGCTAGGGAAAACCAATCTAACAAATGTTGTCATTCTTAAGAAAAAAATAGAGCAGGAGAAGATAAAAATCCAAATGATCACAGATTAGTCACCTTTACTTATAAACATGAGACTTTTTTAAAGTTAAATATAAAATAAACATTATGTAGAATAACAATAACAATCATTACATTAACATCTAACTTATATTTGAGTCTTTTTAAAGGTACTGTCTACTCTACTCAACATTATATACATATTTATCATTAACATTAATTAAGTTAAGTATTATTCCCCATTTATGGGACAAGGAAAATTTCAGCTTAAAGAGTTTGCATAATTTGTCTAATCACTCACATCCACTTTCCAATAGATCTGGAAAGAGATTTTTGCAATCCAAAGTTCACAGAACATTAATGCTTAATAGCAAGACTTACTTGTCTGGCATATATAGAAAGAAGATACTGCACCATAATTTACAAAGATAAAATTGAGAGTCAAAATTTATTTCCCCTTCTACCATTTTCACAGAACCTCAGTCATTCTATCCACAGAAACCTAGAACACTATTTAATACTCTATCTCTAGTTATGTCTATAAATAGTAAGTACAGTAAAGCTCAGCAGTGTTTAAGATTCATATATAAAACAATTGACTGCATTCTTTCCCCCAGCTGTGATTTTCAAATGCAAATGGAATAAAGATTTTATGTTCTAAAGAAGAGTAGTCTATGGACAGAATTCTGTGGAGGAAATTTAGAAAATGAGTCCCCACTGACCCAGTGTTTTTCTGGCCCAAGTTCATCATATTTGCCCAAGGCAAGAGTTTCCTGGAATTCCTGACTTTGAAAATTTCTACATTGAAAATCTCAAGCCAGCCAAAGAAGGTGAAGTTGCTCAGTCCCGTCCATTTCTTTGTGACCCCATGGACTACAGCCTGCCAGGCTCTTCCATCCATGGGATTTTTCAGGCAAGAATCCTGGAATGTGTTGCCATTTCCTTCTCCAGGGGATCTTCCCAACCCAGGGATCGAACATGGGTCTCCTGCACTGCAGGCAGACTCCTTAGTGCCTATGCCACCAGGGAAGGGGCAGCCAAAGCATTCAGAATAGTCCTCAGCGATATTTAAGCCAACCTGGAGGTCATACCTGCTACCAGCTTACGTGCACGTGTCTGCACTCAGCCATGTCTGACTCTGCAACCTCGTGGACTGTAGCCCCCCCAGGCTCTTCTGTCTATGGGGTTGTCCAGGAATGGATACTGGAGTGGGTAGCCATTTCCTTCTCCAGGGGATCTTCCTGACCCGGGGATTGAACCAGTGTCTCTTGTGTCTCCTGCATTGGCAAGCAAGTTCATTACCAGCTGAGCCATGACAGAAACCCAGAAGCCAACCAGCAGATAGCAAACCACCAAAAGCAACAGGAACAAACAGATGGTCATATATAGTGATTGGCTGAGTGATTAAGTTATGTCTTATGCTCTTTGGGAAACGGTAGTGTCAACTACAAATTAGCACTTGCCAAGAACATTTGCCAGCGGTGAAACGACAACAAGGGCCTTCGCCATCTGCCTCTGTGGTGATTAAACCTTGTGCTGCTGCAAGCGCCAACCTTCAACACCCTCTGAGGGGATTCAGGGTGAGAGTGAGGAGCTCCGTGATCCAGGGAAACAGGTGGGACAGGTCTTCAGATAGTTGGATATTTTCAGGAACTGATTTAATGACCCTTATCCTTGCGTCTCCTCATATCTAGAAAATCATTAAATCCCTTCATGGTGACATCAGCTCCTCGTGACTAGCAGAAAATCTTTTGTAAAGTATGCACTTGATTGCAGTGAACTCTCCTTTCGCCAAAATCTTATACATCAGCTTCCCCCTACAACCTCCTTGGAGCAGTCTCTCAGAGCCAACTGAGGTGGTGTGTCCTGGACTGCAGTCCTCATTTTGCCCAAAACGACACTTCACTTGCCACTCTCACACTGTGCATCTTTTTAGTCAACATTAGAAAATAATCCTCAATCATTATGTTTATGTAGCAAAACTACCAACAATTCAATATATACATAGTGTAAAATGTACAGTCGTACAAAATTCAAAATGTGTTTATAAGAGATTATGTGAAAGTGAAAGTCACTCAGTCGAGTCTGACTCTTTGTGACTCCATGGACCATGAAGTCTATGGAATTCTCCAGGCCAGAATACTGGAGTGGGTAGCCTTTTCCTTCTCTAGGGGATCTTCCTGACCCAGGAATCCTACCCAGGTCTCCCACTTTTCAGGCAGATTCTTTACCAGCTGAGCCACACGGGAAGCCGAAGAATACTGGAGCGGGTAGTCTATCCCTTCTCCATGGATCTTCCTGACCCAGGAATCAAACCAGGATTTCCTGCAATGCAGGTAGATTCTTTACCAACAGAGCTATCAGGGAAGCCCTGTGTTACTCTAAGGCCTCCAAATATTCTTTTCTTTCATGCAAGTCCTACTTGTTACATGATAAGATAGTTCCAAGATATGTAATATGTTGTTATAAATTATGTATATGTCTAATAGGTATCTTGAACTCATCTCACACACTAGTAAAGTAATGTTCAAAATTCTCCAAGCCAGGCTTCAATAATATGTGAACCGTGAACTTCCGGGTGTTCAAACTGGTTTTAGAAAAGGCAGAGGAAACAGAGATCAAATTGCCAACATCCACTGGATCATCAAAAAGGCAAGAAAGTTCTAGAAAAACATCTATTTCTGTTTTATTGACAATGCCAACTGTGTGGATCACAATAAACTATGTGATTTTCTTGAAGAAAATTCTTCAAAAAATGGGAATACCAGACCACCTGACCTGCCTTTGAGAAATCTGTATGCAGGTCAGGAAGCAACAGTTAGAACTGGACATGGAACAACAGACTGGTTCCAAATAGGAAAAGGAGTACGTCAAGGCTGTATATTGTCACCCTGCTTATTTAACTTATATGCAGAGTACATCATGAGAAACGCTGGGCTGGAAGAAGCACAAGCTGGAATCAAGATTGCCGGGAGAAATATCAATAACCTCAGATATGCAGATGACACCACCCTTATGGCAGAAAGTGAAGAAGAACTAAAGAGCCTCTTGATGAAAGTGAAAGAAGAGAGTGAAAAAGTTGGCTTAAAGCTCAACATTCAGAAAAATAAGATCGTGACATTCGGTGCCATCCCTTCATGGCAGATAGATGGAGAAACAGTGGAAACAGTGGCTGACTTGATTTTTCTGGGCTCCAAAATCACTGCAGATGGTGATTGCAGCAATGAAATTAAGACGCTTACTCCTTAGAAGGAAAGTTATGACCAACCTAGACAGCATATTAAATATCAGAGACATTACTTTGCCAACAAAGGTCTGTCTAGTCAAGGCTATGGTTTATCCAGTAGTCATGAATGGATGTGAGAGTTGGATTATAAAGAAAGCTGAGAGCTGAAGAATTGATGCTTTTGAACTCTGGTGTTGGAGAAGACTCTTGAGAATCCTTTGGACTGAAAGGAGATCCAACCAGTCCATCCTAAAGGAAATCATTCCTGGGTGTTCATTGGAAGGACTGATGTTGATGCTGAAACTCCAGTACTTTGGCCAACCTGATATGAAGAGCTGACTCATTGGAAAAGACCCTGATTCTGGGAAAGATTGAAGGCGGGAGGAGAAGGGGATGACAGAGGATGAGATGGTTGGATGGCATCACCGATTCAATGGGCATGAGTTTGAGTAAACTCTGGGAGTTGGTGATGGACAGGGAAGCCTAGCGTGCTGCAGTCCATGGGGTCGTAAAGAGTCGGACACGACTGAGCAAATGAACTGAACTGAAATATGTTTCTTGTATATAGGTAATAATAGTTCTGAATCTAAAGTGTGTAGGATTTTTTAAATAAAATTTCGTTCTATTTATGGGTCATTGTGGTTGCATAGAAAAACTATTTTTTCTTTTCCTCAGTAAACGCAGGTGTAGAGATTAGCACCACCGCTAAGCAAAATAAACTCAAATTAGCATACGTTATCTCATCCAGTCCTCCAATATCACTCTCGCAAATGCATTCTTGTCCCCATTTTTAGATACAGAGACTAAGATTCAGAGTCTGAGGTCATCTTCTTAAGGCACCATAATCACCAAATTGCAGAATTGAATTTCAAACCCAGATCTAACTAGTCTAGAGGCCATCACAGAACTTTATTTTCCAAATATTCTTGCATTAGCACTCTTACAAACACTTTATCATTCCTCAAAATCCTTCTTTAACCTTCTCCATCACTTTCTTGTAAATCCATAGAAATTTCACTAAGTAGGAGTTAAAGTCAGAAAAATATATACATTCTTTATTTGCTGTAGGATTCTTCAGTCATTTTTTTTTAAAGAAACTGAAATCAACCTGACTAATAATAATAAAAATTAAATTCAGTCATTTCAGGTGCACTTA